TGAGGAAAACACTGTGTAAACCTGAAAGTGCTACAGAAATGGGAGTGATACTGATGAAGATGTTGAAGAGCTGCAAAGACAGTTCTCTCAGAATGATGCAAGGCACCAGTTTAATCAGAGCTAGCCTCTTATGAAACAGGGAAAGACAGTTAGGGGAAAGGAAGGCAGAATAGTATTTGTTTGTCAAAAAGGTTTCGGGGGGGCAGTGAGGTGGTGCAGTGGATAGAGCACTGGCCCTGAAGTCAGGAGGACCTGAGTTCAAATCTGGCCTCAGACCAAACACTTGATACTTATTAAATGTGTGACCCTGGGCAAGTCACTTAATCTCAACTGCCTGAAAATTTAAAAAAAAATTTAAAAAAAAGGTTCCTGGGGCTCTGGAAGACTGGGTCAAAGCAAGAGCAAGGAAAAGACCTCAGGATGTCAACAAAGCTAGTAATTAAATTAAATCAGTACTAAGTGTGAATAGGGAAAGAGACTATCGGTGGCTCCAAGTTTATTCATATGGATAAACTGCAGTGGAGGAGAAAGGGCTGGAATAATCTAATTAGAATATTAATATATTATTGATATATTGTCAATTAGCTCCATTTACTATCATTTGGATTGGAGGATAGTTATTGTCTTGCAAATCAGATTACAGAGCAGAATGCAAGCATAAAATAATAACATCATCATCATCAGTCAGTCAGTCAATAAATATTAAGTACCTACATGTGCTAGGCACTGTGCTAAGAGCTAAGGTTTCAAAGAAAGGAAAAAAAAATAACGTCCCTGCTTTGAAGGAGCTGTAGTCTAACAGGGAGACGAGGCGCAAATGGCCATGTGCAAGTAAGATATTGGCGGGAGAAATTAGAAATCTGCATCACCATTATTATTACAACAGAAACATTACTGATTCTCTGCTGCTCCTCACGTATGGCATATCATCTCCCCTCTCCTGGCTTTTGAACAGACTGTCTCTAACGCCTAGAGTGCCTTCCCTCCTTCCCTCCACTTTTTACAATCCTGAATTTTACCTGACACCTTCAATACAGAGTCTTTCCCGATACTACCCCACCAGCCCCAAGCTGCTGGCGCCTCCCCTGAAAATACTCTTTCTAGGTTGCCCAGAGTACTGGTTCTGGATTCAGGAAGATCTGAGTTCAAAATCCAACCTCAGACACTTCCTAACTGTGTGACCCTCACTTCTGTTTGACTCAGTTTCCTCATCTGTAAAATGGGGGCTTTTGTGAAGACCAAATGAGATGATAATTATAAAGTTCCTGGAGCATAGCAAATGCTTTATAAATGTTAGCCATCATCATCATCATCATCATCATCATTATGGAAGTTGTCTACCTCCAAAGAATATAGGCTTCTTGAGGGCAAGGGCTATTAATTTTTGCCTTTCTATCCTAGCACATAATATGTATTTAACAAATACTTGTGAATTGATTGGCTGTTTGTTCATCCCCAGTGCCTGGCACATAGCTGTCCCTTTATAAATACTTATTGGTGGATGAAAATGATAGCGCCTTCTCTCTCCCTAAACTACTTTATATCTATTTTATATTTATGTTACATATTTATTCTCTCTATACTCATATATTATATATGTATATACACACTTACATATATACATATGTGTATACATATACATATATACATACACATATATACATACATATATACATATATACATACATATACATATACACATACATGCATATATACATACACACACACATATGTATATATTCCTCAAAAGCAGGCCGTTTCATTCTGGTTTTGTGCCCCTAGTGCCTAGCACAGCGCCAGGCACAGAACAGGTATTTAATAAATTGATTGATTAATCAGCTATTGTCCAGACGTTGGATGATCAAAGGGCTTCCCCATCTGCTAGTTGGACAAGCATTTCCAACGGGGTCCCAGATGAAGGAAGATTGCCTTTGGGAAGCAGCATAGGGCTGTTCATGATCCCAAGCTTCTTCCTGAAACGAGCGCCATCTTTCTAACACCAACCTCCTCCTGGTAATGGCGTATGGCTTCCAGTCATGGTAAATCACCATCTCCAAAGAATTAAGGTTGTGGGTTGTCCAAAAGTCAATGGAGAGACGGATCTGGTGGGCGTGAGCAGAATTACCTAATGACCAAATCACACCTGAGGAATGGCATCAGATTTTATCAGCGCTGAACTGTAAAGAACTATCTTTGCCCTGGAGGTACAAGGAAACATATCTTCTTCCTGGCAATAGAGAGAGATGTAGGAACATCCAAGTGGAACATGGCATATGGCTAGTGGCATCAAACTCAAATAGAAAAGAGGGGCCCCTGATCTGTGCATAAGGATCCCTGCAGGCCACATACTTACTTAAAGTGTGATAGTATCAGTGTCTCAGTGTATTTTTATTTGTTCCGTTAAAAATTTCCCAGTTACATTCTAATCAGGTCCCAGCTGCACTGGGGGAGTGTTGCCAACGTGTTTGACACCTCAGTATCCCCTATCTAAGATGGGTTGTTGTGGTGGTGGGCTTTGCTTAAAATTGTTTTGTTGTTGTTACAAGGAAGGGTCCGAAGGGGGAGGAATGGAGAAATGATGAAATAAAAACACGCCAACAGTAAAACAATGATAAAAAATTAGATTAGTAGAGAGACATCAGGTTGGGAAGAGAAGTGGGCCAGTCCTGCATGAGATGGAGAGACAACTGATGGACATCTCCATTGGTTGGTCAAAAAACCTGGAGGTGAGAGGCAGCTAGGTGGGGCACTGGATAGAGAACCGGCCCTGAAGTCAGGAGGACCTGAGTTCAAATCTGCCCCCAAATACTTGACCCTTACTAGCTGTGTGACCTTGGGCAAGTCACTTAACCCCAATTGCCTAAAACAAACAAAAACAAAACAAAACAAACAAACAAACAAAAAAAAAACCTTGAGGAGAGCCCCCAGCACACTGGAAGATTTATGGGAGGACATGGATAAGGGTATCATAAGATGAAAATCAAAGGACAAGATGACCATAGATTTAGAACTTCTCCATGTGTATTTATTTGTGTATATTTATCATATCTCTCAGTAGAATATAAGCTCTTTGAGGGCAGGAAATGTTTCACTTTTGCCTCTGTATCCCTAGCATCTAACACAGTACCTGGAATATATAAGTTATGTGAATCTGAGCAAGTCACTTGGCCACTTTTTTTTGCCTCAGTTTCCTGTTCTTTAATGGGGACAAAAATAGCACCTGCCTTCTGGGGTTGTTGTAAATATTGTTGTTATTATATAACTCCTAATGATAATAGCATTTACATAAGGCTTTAAGGTTTGCAAAGCGCTTTATATGTGTTACCTCATGGCTATATACAGGTTATTATTATTATTATTATTATTATTATTAGGTGCTTAAGAAATGCTTGTTGAATTAAATGACTTGTGGAATTAAAGCTATCTTAGTTAATCTAGTCCTTATTTTAGAGAAGAAGAGCCCAGGGTCCAGGGAGATCTGGCAACTTACACAAGATCAGACAGACGTGAAGCCACATGTGAAGTCCAGTCATGAGACCACTCCAGCCTTTCAGATCCATTGCTTTTCTGCTCTTTCATCGAGGTGTAGATGGGCTGAGGAGGGGCCAACATGTGTGAGACCACAGATCCATTCAATATGGTCTCTCCCAAATGGAGCTATTCAGCACCTCTTGGTGTCTAGGACACAGCGCTTAAGTACAATCTCCTCCCAATGATTCCTGCCCTGCCTCCTTGCTGCTGCTTCTAAAACAAGACTCTCCATGTACCACCTCTGGGTGTTTGCATTGGCTGTCCGCCATGCTTGGAACACTCCCCCCTCATCTCTGCCTCCTGCCTTCCCTCGTATCCTTCAAGTCACATCTTCTACTGAAAGTCTTTCCTAGTCTCTGAGATGATCTCCGGTTTATCCTGTATGTAATTTGCTTATTCCTACTGATTTGCAGTTGTCTCCTCCATCAGACTGAACTTCTCAAGGCCAGGGACTGTCTTTTGCCTTTCTTTGTAACCCCAGTGTTTAGCACAGTGCCTGACACGTAGTTTTTGTTACTGAGTCATTTTCACTTGTGTCCAACTCTCTGTGACCCCATTTGGGGTTTTCTTAGCAAAGCTACCAGAGTGGTTTGTCATTTCCTTCTCCAGCTCATTTGACAGATGAGGAAACTGAGGCAAACAGGGTTAAATGACTTACTCAGGGTCACACAAATGTCTGAGGCTGGATTTGAACTCAGGAAAATGAGTCTTCCTGACTCCACAGCCAGTGGGAGATTAATAGATGCTTGTTGTGTTGACCTTATCCCTAACAGAACTTTCCCTAGTAACAAAGAACATGGTTAAACGAAATAAAATAATTGTGTATGATTATAGATGTCTCATTCTATACTCATAGCCCATCATCTCTTTAATGAGAGGTCTGGGGTGGAGGTGGAAGGTGGTGAGGGATGTTTTATGATTAGTACTTAGATGTCCTCTGCATTGGTTGGAGCTGTGAAATATCAGGCTTTTCTTCATCTTTACCCCCCAGTTATTAACATTCTCTTCCTCTTGAATTTTCAATGGATTTTGAATTTCTAAAGACTGTGATTGCATTACTATAAATGTGAGTCTCTAATACAGGGGTGGGGAGCCTGCATCCTCTAGGCCACACGTGGCCCTCTAGGTTGTCAAATGCCACCCTTTGACTGAATACAAACTTCACAGAACAAATTCCCTTCATGAAAGGATTTGTTTTGTAAAACTTGGACTCAGTCAAAAGGTCACACCTAAGGACCTAGAAGGCCACATGTGGCCTCCAGGCCGCGGGGTCCTCACCTCTGCTTTAATGCTCTACAACTATCATAATTTCACACAGAGGATGTAAATCAATTTCCATACAAAAGAGACCCAAAAAACCTAAAAACCACCTTGCGAAGCAAACATTTGACTTATTGGCCAAATGGACAGAGGTGGAAGCCAAAAGCAAAACCAGATTATAGTATAAACTTCTTTCTAAAATCCTCCAGACAAGGCCGATTGAAGATTATGAACAGTATTACCCCATAAAAGCGAAGAGGAACAGTAGGACTTAAAATCAGTGTAAAGAGAACTTTGTGAGGCAACGAATTGAGCAAAGTTATCCCCAAGGACATTCACATCTGAACATGGAAGGAAGACAACAAACAGAAAAAAAAGGTAAAAGATCTGTAAATAGAATTTCCGGTCTTTTATTGATGCCTTTTGTTTTTATGTCACATTTATTTCCAAGTATGTCCCACTCCTCTACCTACCAACCCTTCCATTATAACACAGATTTAAGAAGAAAGAGGAAAAAAAAAACCAGTTAGAGAAAACCAACCAATGCATCGTGTCTGGACTATTGTAACATTAGTAATAATAGTGTAATATTGCAAGCTTACTGTTCCTCTCTTCTGAAAGGAGGGGAGCAAGGTTCTAGAAAGATTTTTTTTAATTAAAATACTATTTTTGCATTCAAGGACAGTGGAGTCACAATGTTGGGATAGTCTTTGACGTGCTTCTCAAGAAGGAAGAAATGGTACCACAGAGAACAAGAAAAGGAAGGAACGTCTGAAATAGAACAAGAGACACAATCCTGAGGGCGTTGAAGGGCCGATCACCAAGCATCTGAAAGAGGGGAAGTTGCTAAAGGTCTGGGGAAAATATATTGGTCTTTATTAATGTTTTAAATACTTCAACAACTACCGACCTCTATGTCTATTCTCCCATCTCTATGAAATTACTATGAGAATCACTTACACAAGGTTTTAGGGCATTCTTGATGAAGGTATAGTAGAGGAACGGGCAGACTTTGAAAGGGATATTCCACAGTGGGATCACATCTTTACAACAATAATGATAACTAACATTTATATGGCGCTTACTATATGGTGGGTACTGTGTTAAATTCTTTATTATTATCTCATTTGATCCTCATGACAACCGGCGAGATAGGTGCTATTATTATTCCCATTTTACAAATGAGGAAACTGAGGCAAACAATGTTAAGTGACTTGGCCAGGAACACACAACTACTAACCGTCTAAGGCAGAATTTGAACTGAGATTTTCCTGATTTTAGGCCCCATGCTCTTTCCACTGTGCCACTTAGCTTCCCCAATTACATGACTAAAAAATTCAGATAAAACAAGGTCTTTCTGTGCTAATTATTTTGTAGATGTTTAAAAAGCATAAGATTTAACTGAACAAAATGCTGCTTTAACAGCTCTTTCCCAATGAGATGTCTTTCATCTGTACATCGGTCGTTCAAGATTCCTTGAAAGATTCAATGATGAGACAATCTTGTTCGGTGACCCTCTGATCAGGAATATCAGGTGAAACCAGGTTGATGCTCGATAAAGGTGTTAGCTACTGTGGTGAAGGATATCCAATATAGAGTCCAAATTGAAGAGAGATTCCCTGAGGATTGTCCAGTAGTCCAGACACTACTGTTTCTGGATGTTGTGCTGCTGCCATCAAAGCTCAAGACATCGTAGAGCCTCCTGGAAGACACCTATAACCATGCAAAAGAATCTGGCCTGACCATCCACACAGGAAAAACCAAGTGGATGGAGAATGCATATTTCCCAGATTTTGAAGTACAGTTAGACGGACAACCTATAGAAAAGTCCATTAAGTACAAATAGCTGGCATAGACAGTACAAATGGACAAGAAGTTAGACCCAACATTGAAGAGGAAGAGGGCAACCTGAATAACTTTCTGGAAATTGCAAAACTCTAACTTCTTGCAGAACAACAATAACAAAAAATTATCTTTTTAGCACAAATGTCATCCCTGGGGTTTTGTTGCATAGGCAGATTCAGGATTGCTGGAGAGACAACGATTACTCATTCTGTGATGGGTGGAGTTGGTGCCAGTACGTGGGAGAAGAGATTTTCTTTTTGCTTCCTGTCTTAAGAGATATATCCAATTCAAGACACTCATGGGAAGAAGGGGATGGGGAGAAAGAAAGAGAGAGAAAGAGACAGAGAGAGAGACAGAGACAGAGAGACAGAGAGAGACAGAGGGAGACAAAAAGAGACAGAGAGAAGGAGAGAGAGAAGGGAGAGAGAGAGTAGAGAGAGAAAGAGGGAGAGAGAGACAGGACAGAGAGAAAGAGAGGGAGAGAGAGAGAGAGAGGAGAGAGAGAGAGAGAGAGAGAGAGAGAGAGAGAGAGAGAGAGACAGAGACAGAGAGACAGAGAGGGAGAGAGAGAGAGAGAGAGAGAGAGAGAGAGAGAGAGAGAGAGAGAGAGAGAGAGAGAGAGAGAGAGAGAGAGAAGGGAGGTCCAGGAGTGGGGGAAAGGATCATTTTCCACTTTTCGTCTCACCCACAATCTGTTTGACTGTATTCAACTGACCAGTAAATGAAGCCAAACCAATGTTTTCCCCTTCCCCTCTCCCTTATCATTCTATGTTTGGGAAGTTAGTGAACTTTGCTGGTTCCTCCAGCCATAAAGTCAGGCTAATGCTATGTCTCTAATAATACTGGAGTGTTAGGGGGCCTGGATAACAGATGCTGGGTAAGTACTTTTTGCTTGGAGACTCTTTAATTTACAATATGATGGAAATGAAATGAAACCCAGGCACACCCTTTTCCATCTGTCCTTAATAGTTGGCAAGGTTCCTGAACGCCCCTTGTGTAAGGGCCTCCTCAAAGAGCGAGGCCTCTGGCCCTCCCTCAGTCAGAAGTGGGCTGCACCTGCCTTCTCGACCTCTCCCTCAGGCTGCCAGCGCACACCTGGGAGTCCTGGAGCGTCACAGAAGGGAGACAAAGCTTACTTTCTTTGTTTCCTGGGAGGCCTCCATGTTGCTCAGTGGTGCCTCCCTTCTCAGGTCCACTCAGAGCGGTATAGAGGATGGGGTGGGGCAGTCAGGAAGACCTGGGTTCAAATCCTACCCCTGACACTGTCTATGCCGTTCTAGCTGAGTCGTTTAACATTTATCAGCCTCATTTTTGTCCTCCCCAAAAGGGGATAATAATAGCACCTCCTTCCCAGGGGTGTTGCGAGAATCAGGTAAGATACCACATATCAAGTGCTTTGCAATCCCTAGAGCATTATATACTTGTTAACTATTGATATTCATTCATTCAACCAATGAACATTTATATATTAGATTATTAAATTAATTATGTATTAAAATAGTGCCATGTACTGTGCTCAGTAGTTGAGATACTAAGGCCCAAACCCCCAAATCAGCCCTGACTGCAAAGAACTTAAGGAAGGAATCTGAAGCCCACCTTATGAAATCTGTTTTCAACATCCATTAAACACTTACTGTATGCACTACACTGGGCTGGGTGCTATAGCAGATACAAAGTTTGGCCGAAACATGATCTGTGCCTTCGTGGGATCAATTAATCAATCTACAAGCATTTACTAAATTCCTGCTACATACTAGGCACTGTGCTAGGCCTGGGCATACACTGACACAAAAGGAATGATCCCTGCCCTGTTGACACTCATATTCTATATGCATAAGACACAATATCACACCAATGGGGTAGAAAGGAAGGGGGTCAAGGAAGGTTTCTTGGCGGACATTTGAATTGGGCTTGACGGCTTCAACAGGCGTGGGGGAGAGAGAGGACACCCCAGACGTAGGGAACTATCTGATCAAAGGCTCAGAGCTAGGAGTGCATTTAATAAGCACCTTCTGTGTGCCGACATTCTGCTAAGTATTGGGGATGTAAAGACAAAAAAAAAAAGATACCATTCCTGCCCTCAAGGAGCTTACACCCTATCTAGAGACACATGGAAATAACTAGGCACATACAAAAAGATACAAAGTAATGTTGAGGCAGCTAGGTGGATCAGCGGATAGCCTGGAGTCAAGTTAAGACCTGAGTTCAAATCTGACCTCAGACACTTCCTAGCTGTGTGACTCTGGGCAAGTCACTTAATCCTGTTTGCCTCAGTTTCCTCATCTGCAAAATGAGCTGAAGAAGGAAATGGCAAAGCACTCCAGTATCTCTGGGGTCATGAAGAGTTGGACATCATCAAACAACAACAGCGATGTTGAGGGCAGGAGGCATTAGGAGCTGGATAGATCAAGAAAAGGTATTGCTTGAGATTATAGGTTCCAAGTTGCTATGTTCACTTTTCCTCAGTCCCATCTTTCCATGTCTGTTTTCCTATTTGGTCAGAATTAACTTGAATTATGGTCTCCCACCTCCACTCTCAAACTACTTCTGAAAGCTGAAATTGTCAGCAAGGGAAGGTAAGAATCTCAGATTCCCTGCCTATAGTTTGAGTTTCAGTTCCAGTGGTTGGGCTCGGTGGCACTAAGCCATCTCCAGCCAGCATCAGCATGTGGCTAGTCGTGTGCATTTATTAATTGGCTCTGCGGAGCTGATGGACTCAGAGAACGGGGTGTAACCAACGTGCGTCCAAGTTGGGATTGAACCCGTTGCCTCCCATTCTAGTCATCCACGGTACCCACAATTTTCATTCTCTCAATTTTCATCATTATCTCAGTTAATATCATGAAACATTAGAGCTGACAGGCATCTTAAAGCCCATCTAAGCCACCACCCCATTTTATAGGTGGTGAAAATAGATGGACTAAGAAATTAGCCAATCCATAAACAGAAAAATGGAGTGGAAGAAATAGTGGCTATCACAGAATTATGGAATCTCCCAGTTGGAACGGAGCTCAGAGGTCAGTGGAAAAGGTGGTAGATTTAGAGTTAGAAGACCTGGCTTCGAATACCACTTCTGTGACTTACTCCTTAAGTGACCTTGGGAAAGTCACTTTTGGAAAGTCCCACCTCTCCAGGTCTCAGTTTCCTTATCTGTAAAATGAGGCAGTTGGAGTAGTTCAGCTTAGAACTTCCCTCCCAGTTCTAAAATTTTAATTCTTGTCTAACCCAATCCATCCAGCCTTTGCTTGAAGACTTCCAGTGAAAGGCAGCCCCCTACCTTTCAAGGTGTCCATTCTACTTCAGAATGTTTGTTAGAATACTTTTATTCCCCCTCCTTTTTCATTCCATGGATCTGAGATCTCATCAATGTGGTTACTTCCTCCCTGGTCAGATCTCAAATTCATCCATGACATCTCTTCCCAAGAATCACTTGGGCTTCCCTGTAGGGAATCCACAAAACGTGCTAGAGGACTTTCCCTAGGTCTTCTTTGCCTCAAGGTGAATAGATTTTAGTGGATCCACAAATTT